CCCCAGGGTCAGAAGGGAAGGGGACTCTGGCCAGAGTTCCCACGGCCCCTCAGCTGCTGGGGTCAGGGGAGCTAAGGAGAGTGGGGTCCCCTGGGCTGCAGAAGGTGACGGGGCTGGGCTGGGCAGGGGAGGGGGGAGGTAGCGAAGCCAGGCCACAACCCCTGGACACAGCAGGTCATAGTGTCCCCTGCTATGGGACTGTATGGGGCCTAGGGACAGTTTTTGGGGACAGGCTCTGAGCAGAGAAAGGGAAGGGGCTGGAATGACACCCGGGGCCCGGAGGCCATCACTGTACCTGATCCTGCGGGAGCTCAGGGGCAGCTCAGAGGGCACCTGGGACATGAGGCTGTCAAGAAATGCAGCGCTGGAGGGACACACGCCAAGGCCGGGCTGAGCGGTCGCCCCATCCTCAGCCCGGCCTTCCCCCATTCAGTCACCGCACTCTGCCCGGAGTCGCTCAGGCCTCGGTTCCAACTTGGCTTCTCCACCTCCTGGTTGTGTGACCCTGAACTAATCACTTAACCTCTCGCTGGAGAATGTATGTGAATTGCCCGACTCTGGTGCTTGGAGCATTCACAGTTAGCGCTCAGTTAGCCTCGGCCCCGTTATCATTAAGCTCATCCTCCTCCTCGTCAGTGCTCCAAAGCTGCCAGCCCCAGCTCTAATCAAGCCTTCAACAGTTCAGACCCTACAGAAAAGATCACTGGTGCAAAGCACTGAATCTGCCCATGTGCTGGGCTGGGGCAATCCAGGAAGCCACCCTGGAGGAGGCAAACAGCCCCAAAAGGTGTCCTTGTGCTAAAGGGAGCCAGATGTTCCGACCAAGATCAGAGCTACAGGCCAGAAAATCCTCTGGGTTTAGGCTGAAGGGCCTCAGTCTCCAGAACATCACTCTCTAGCCACCCCATGCCTGCCCGGTGTGCTGTCTACGTCCTACCCCTCAGGGCTATCTCTGGGTACCATGAAAGATGGAGGCATTCTGTCTTTTGACTCTCCCCCTCGGGGCCGCATCCTCTGCCAAGCCTGCTCCGTTCCCACTCCTTTGTGAATTCAGCCGGATCTCCCGGGCAGTAGGCTGGCACTGCGGCGTGGAGGTCGGAGAGGGGATGGCCCTGAGCTGGAGTGTGGCTGGGACGAGGCTGGGGCCTACCTCTTCTGGGGTCCCTCCTGCTCCTCCGACTTTTGGGCAAACGTGAGGACCACAGCTTTGTGCAGCAGGCTGCAGAGACAAGGGAGCAGGGAGGAAGTGAGAGGCTACTGGGTCCCTGATGTTCTGTGTCATTTCTAAACCTTGGCCTGGAGGGGCCTCTCAGGTGCCAGCTGCCACCGCCACCCTCCCGCCCCGCCTCCAGCTGCAGCCACTTCCTCTGACTTCCTCTGACCTTTTGAGGCCTGAACTCTTTCTGCACGGAGATTGCACAAACTTATCTGTCGCCTAAGCAGCCCTCCTTTCCTGCGCAAGTCCTTGAAAGAAAACTTCGACTCTGTGCCCTCTCTCTTGGCCCCGGGCTGCGCCCCTCCCCGCTCTGCTAAGCGGCGTCCCTGCCCCTTGGCGTTGAGGGTGGCGTCCTCCTGCGCTCAGCTGACTGGATGTCACTGCCAGCCTTTCGCAGTGGGTCCTTCAAACCTCTCGCTTGCTAATGCAATAATGTTTTTTCTTAAAAAAAAATAAGATTACATTATAGGTTCTCTCTTAAAACTTATTTTAAGGCATAGAAGAAGCAAGGGTTTTCATGGGTTCTAACTGCTGTGAGAAAAGAAAGCAAAACATTAAAAACAGAAGGATGACAAATAATTATAATTAATAATTGATTATTAGCAATCAGAATGGACTATACCATTCTTTCTACCATTTAGCATTTTGAAAAGCTTTAAGATGATGAATTAAAATGTTTATGTTTACTTCCTAAACCAGTCTTCCTACCATATTAAAACTGTAACTATATTCTTCTTTTCTCATGGTTCCATTGAGTTCTCTCTGGAAGTAACTTAGTTTAGCTAATATCCAACTGTTAAACATTCAAGTTATTTCCATTATTTTCCTATTTCAGTATTTTCAATACTGAGGTGAACATCCTTGAGGTTGCCTGCGTTTGCACGGTCATGATTTCTGTAGTCTAAGTTCCTAGACGTGAACCGCGTGTCGTTTGGAACGCACTAGGGACGCTTTATTGCATTAACGTGTAAAGTGAACCAAGGTGTCCTAATCTACCCTCTCCTCCCTCGAGGGGTGTTTAGAGCAGCGACCACCCTGTTCAGCTGAGAGCCAAGGACGGGGCCTCCCTCGGAGTGGGAGCTGTGTTGACATTAATTAGCGTTTGTCCTCAGTTCCCCATTCTGCACAGAGACTCTCAGGAATGAGACTGAGCCCCGTCTTAGGTCGGTTCCCTAGTGGTGGAGCCCGGGCCATGAGTGGGGCAGGCACATCGTGAGCTGGGGGACGGCTCTCGGGAGAAACAGGTACGGGACTGAGGGAAGCCGAACAAGGCAGGTCCTCAGCCTGATGCCCCGAGGAGCTCTGGAGCACGAAGGGTACCAGAGTTTGTCCCCGCCACCGACAAGGGGGCTAGAGAGCTTTAGCCTCTGCCTCTCACTGGCCACTCCTGGTTGGGGGGATGGGGTGGGGTGCCACCTCCCGGGCATCTCTGGCTCCGTGAGGGCCCGGGGCGGGACAGAATTCCAAGGGCTTTAGGGCGCATGCTCCGGGCCAGAGCGGGAGCGGGTACCTCCAGGGGAGCTCCCACCTGATGTGCAGCTCTGCCAGCGTCCTGCACGTGCTCACTGCGCCCAGCACGCAGTGCAGCCCGGCCACCGAGAGCCCGTTGTCGCTGAGGCTGCAGAGAGGAGGAGGAGGCAGCCGTCAGCGGGTGGCTGAGGTCCCCAGCCCCAGACGGCTCCAGCCTCCTCCTCGTGGCTCAGCAGCTTGCTGGCTGTCACCTGTGGGATGTCCCAAGTCCCTGACCAGGGGCTCTCAAAGGATCCGTGTGGGTGACGCATGAGCTGCTGTCCCACTCAGGGAATAAAGCTCTCCCACCCGAGTGGCAAGAACTGACTCGGTGTCTTCACCTCCTGGAGCCTCAGTTTCTTCATCTGCAAAATCGCCACCATTTTTGAGCACTGCCTGTACCAGGCTCCGTACCAAGGGCTTTGTACATATATGGTTTCATGTCATCCCATTTTACAAATGGGGAAACTGAGGCCCAGACAACTTCAGTTTTTTCCAGGGTCACAAAGCTACTAAGTGACAGAGCCAGGCTTTAAATCCAAAGCCAAAGCCCCAAACCACTGCTACCTGACCTCAACACTCCCCCAGCCCAACCTGCACGACCCTAAGACCCCAACACACTCCCCCAAACACACCGCCCCATACATGTAGCACCACAGCACAGCTAGCAGCCTAATGTCCTTCCTTTCCATCCCGCCACCCCCACAACCCACCCTTCGCCCCAACATTGTACCCGCACCCGAACACACCACTTCCTACCCCAACGCCCAGCACCCCAGTGCTGCCCCAGTGCCACACGGTGCCCCAGTGCACACTGGGGCTGCAAGGATGACCCAGAAGGCGAGCCACTGGTGCACGAGGAACATGCTCTACACACGCGGGGGTTCAATGATGGGAACTAAGACAGCAGCCCGGGCCAGGGGCAAAGGTGAGGTATGCGCGAACCATCCCAACTTGGCAGGAGGTGGGAGGAGGTGGGGGTGGCAGCGTGTCAGCACTATTGCTGCTGACTGTGGGCACGGGACCGGCGTGGCAGGGACCATCCCGGGCTTTCTGGGGCCCTCTTTGTTGCCCGGGGTGGGGCGGGCAACTCACTCCAGCTTCCTGGTGATGCGCAGCCGCAGCGCAGCCTCTGCCATCAGCCGACAGCCTTCGTCTTCCAGCTGGTTCCCTGAGAGGCTGGGACAGAGGGGCCTGCTGCCCTGGACTGCCGGGCTGGAGTCTCTCCCCGAGCCCCAGCACTCACACGGTCCTTAGTGGCTTCAGTCAAAGCGTCACGCCCCTGAACGAACCTTAATAACTAAAGTGGACGGGCTGCAAACTACATGCCTGGCAACGCCCTAGGTGCTTCTACAACTGACGCCATATTTCATCCCCGAAATGGAGCCGTGTGTCTGAACTGAAGACGGAGTGGGAGGGTGGGGGCAGATGGGGCTGGGGAGGGTGGGGCAGGGCTCTGCACTGCCCAGGACTTTAGGGGCTGGGCTTTATCCTGAGCAGCGGGCAGGAGCGAAGGGGGCAGGCATCAGTGAAACGCAGATCACTCTGCCAGGCGCAGGTGCCAGGGTGACAGCAGGGACACCAGCAAGGAGGCCGAGGCGGTCATCCAGGGGAGAGATGAGGGTGGTGTGGGTGCGGGAGGGGGATGAAGAGGATGGTTTGAGAGCTACTGAGGAGGTGAGGTGACGCAGGGTGGACCGGCTATGAGGGGGAGGCGAGGGAGCGGTGTGGTGTCTGGCGTGTGTAAACATGTGGGCCATGGGGCTGTTTCTGCAGGTGACAGAGCTGGGGCGGGGCAGGCTCAGTGGTGGCTGGAAGTATTGGAGGTTGGTGAACACCACCTTCTAATCCTGGCCTGGTTGTCCCAGCAGGCCAAGGTCAAGGAGCGAGAGTTGATCACCAAGGCCGCCCTTGCCCCATCCACTTCCCCCTCTGGTGGGGCCGCCCACCTCAGAACACATGGGTGCATTCCCTCACTGCACCTCCAAGCCCGTTTGGAGATTCCTGGGAGGGGACCCTCCTAGTGACGTGGCAGGACCTCTACCGATCCCCAAACCCTGCTCTCATTGGCTCTGCCCAAGGACCGGACATCGTGGCAATTTCTCTATCCTGAAAACAGGAGGTCATCCCACTCTGCTCTGGGAGAAAGACGGAGGGTGGCGGGGGAGGTGGGGGAACCCTCAGGGGCTGTGGTCTGGAAAACAGAGCCAGGTGTGGTGTCACTACAGACCTCAATGACAGAGGTGGCAGTATGATGAGGATGAGGCTGGGAGCCAGACTGCCTGCGGCTTGAATGCTGGCCTAGACTCTTCCTGCCTGCGTGACCCAGAGCAAATTTACCTCTCTGTGGCTTAATTTCCTCCTCTTCGAGATGTAGGTAGCAACAGTGCTTACATCGTAGACACGTGGGGATTGAATGAGAGGAGGTACGCAAAGCCCCAGCACCCAACACAGGACAAGCGCTAAATAGTGGCAGCTGTTACGATTACTTCATTCCCCCAAATTCCTCATGAGCCAGCACACCCCTCCACCCCATCACCCACCCAAAGGCGAGGCCCTGCCCACCCTGCCCCACCCTTTCATCCTGGCTCCTGCACCGGGCTTCTCATGATACTCACTCTACTTCTTCCAGAGGGGGGCCTTCCAGGAGCAGGGCTATGAGGGCTTCCACATTATGGACCTGGAGCTCACACTTCTGGAGCCTGGGGTAGGGGTGGGGGACAGAGGAGCTTAGGGCAAAAAGCTACACCATTCCCCCTCCAGCCCCGAGGGACAGACTTGGGGTCTAGTCCTGGCCACACCTCTGAGTAGCTGGGTGATCTTGGGCAAGGCACTTAACCTGTCTGAGACTCAGTTTCCTCCTCTAGCAAATGAGAATAATAATGTGCACTTCCCAGAGATTTTAAAAGGATTACAAAGAGATCATGGACATAAAACATTTAGCATTGTGTCCAGCATATATGTAGCAACGGTCCTTTAAATTATTGCTGTTGTTCTTATGACAGATGCTTCTTATTTAAGCCAGGCTGGGTTATTCAGAGCCCTTCCCTGCCACCCCCATCTGCTTTGCCCTTTGTCCTCCCTGCCCCTGCCATCCCTCCCCTGGGACTTCCCCCATATCCGTCTCCTTAAGGCCATAGATCCCGCTGAGGTACCTGAGTGTCAGGCTTCTGCTCTGAGCCGCTTTCCTCTGGCTGTCATTTTCCTGCGGGTCTGGGGCTCTGGCAAGAACAAACCAAACATTGGCCTGGGCTCAGGAGTCCAGGGCCTGGCAGACCACGCCTCTTTCCTTGGCTTCTAGGGGCTAAAGACCCTGCAGCACAACCCACAGTGAATCAGTAACAAAGACGATTGCTTGAAAGTGCTCGGGTCCTATTCAGAAGAGCAGCGGGAGCAAAAGGTTTGAGATCAAGTGGAACCTTTATGCAAATTCTGGCTCTGTCCCATGTAGCTGTGTGGCCCTGGGCAAGTCATTTCACCCATCTGAGTCTCCATCTTCCGTTTTCTAAAAATGGGATGACAACATCTAACGCACAGAGTACCCGAAGGATGGAATGAGACATTGTGCGTTTGAGAGCACAGCACAGGCACTAAACTGAAGCTTAGCAAACAGAGGCTGCTACCGTCCACGATGTGACGGTCTCCATTCGTATAGCAGGCGTGCCGTCTGTGGTTCAGAAGGCGGGGGGCGTGAGCCGCATGTGCGGGGCCAGGCCGTGGGAAAACACGGTGCTTCTAGACTCTCCCGCTGGGCCAGGGCAGCGACTGGGGATTCAGGGAAACTAGGGTGTTACGAGCCAGGTTCCACCGACTTCTAGATCAGTGTTAACAGAACTTTCTTCAGTGACGGAAGTGTCCTGTGTCTGCGCCATCCACTGTGGGAGCCACTCGCCACCCAGGGCCTCTGAGCACTTGAAGTGTGGCTAATGCGACTGATGAACTGAAAATTTCATTTTCCTTCATTTTAATTAATTGAAATTGAAATAGCCACTTGGAACTAAGGGACTCATATTGGGCATCACAGGTCTAGGCGGTTGGAGAGGAAAGCGACATTGGTCCTAGCGGGTCATTACACAGGCGAGGAAATTGAGGGCCGGAGCAGGGACAGAGAATGCTCAAGGACAGAGATCACCTGTCTCTGAGGCTCAGCCAGGGAGGAGTGTGGGGGGCACAGCTGGAATGTTCTTCCAGGGGAAAGCAGCCTCCCTTTCTTCACCCACCCAAGAGTGACGAAGCTGGAATCCAGGCACAGCTGGAAAAGCCAGCAGCTGAGTGCCGACTGCACTTTAAATGTACTCACTGTTTTAATTCTCGGAACAACCCTAAGATGTAGGTACCATAGTAGCTCTTCCCCTCGCTCTTCAGTGGTAAGAGTTTTCCCCACAAGTCCTGCCAGTCTAATGATATCTTTATGTGCTCCCTGAGGGTCTGGCTCACTCCGAGACTTCTGAGGGTGCTGCCTCCCACAGGAGCCAGATGTGGTCCAGACACGCTAGAGGAAGTTAAAGCCCTTTGCCAACTCTGAGCAGTAGTTCATTGCTCAGCGCTGCAGTAGCAGGAAGAATCTCCACATTCCAGCTCTTCCTGGGCTCTAAGAGAGCCACCCTTCCCCTCAGCTGCCTGGGCCAAGCTCACTTCTCAGGATGGGCCAAGACCCGTCGTCTCCTGGCTTCTTACCTTTGTAGCTCTACAGCCGTCTCTGCGCGTGGGGAAAGAAGGAAGATGAGGTCCGCCTCCCTGCAGGGTCAGATACCGAGCCATGAACCCCCCCGGGCTGGGAACCAGCACATCACCCCCCACCTGCAAACCACTCCCTGCCCCAAACATCCAGAGAAAGCTGACTTCATGATTGACCGAGAAACATAACAGAACTGGCAAAAACGCTCCAAATCAGCCATGTAAAATCCTGACCGTGTCATTGCTTGATGAATCCTGCAAGAGTGTTTCAAAAAGTCAGGAAAACAATTTTTTATAAGAAATATAAGAAAAATTAGGAAAGCTGAGAGTTTTTGAAAAAATAGAAGTTGCGAGTGTTTTGGGATTAAGAAGCGTGACGCCCAACCTACCCTATGATTTACACTGGCAATGCTGGTTCAGCACCATGGAGAGCGACACACGCTGCTTCCTTTGGCTGCGCCCGTGTTTCCTACATGTGTTGATTCGTTCCTTCATCCACCCACCCACGCATCCACGCGTTCATGCATCCATCCATCCACTCACTATTTATGGGATACCAGGTGCCAGGCCTGAGCGAGGCTCTGAAGATACAGTTGTGAGTAAAACAGACTTGGGCATGCACATGTAGATCTATCCGATTTGGGACCTTCTTCTCCTTTTCCCATTCCCCATATCCCCCCACTCCCCGCCCCCGACCCCTTTTCTCAAGGTCCCGAAGGCCAGGATCCCATTCCTTCTGCTCACCTGACCTGCAGCGTCCCGACGGTAGGGCACAAGACTGCCACTTTTGCCAAGGAGAGCAGGGTGGACACAGAGATGCTGTTGCCACTCAGTCTGCATGATTGTGGCAAAGGGGTCAGGAGTGAATGCCCCATCCCATGGGCGCCAGACCTTCCTTGCCTTGCAAGGGAGAGGGGTGATTCGGGCAGGGAGATGGGCTGGGCTGCGAGGGGAGTGGAAAGACCACTTACTCGAGCTTCTGGAGCCGGGGCAAGCAAGGGAGTACCTCCGCGACGTTCAGCACCTCCTGGTCCTTGAGCTGGTTGTCCTGAAAACTGCAAGATCAAGGCCCAGGCTCTCAGTCCTGGGGTTGGGGTACTTGGAAGCCCCAGTCGGCAGGTGACAGGACTGCCACTCTCATGTGGGAGACGTAATACAGGGGCCCAGAAAGAGTTGGTGACCTTCTCCCTGGCACCCAGCAGGCACAGCTAGGAGGAAAGACCCTCTGCTGGCCTCACCTCTGTCCCTATTCATCCCCTAGGGGACAGTTTCTGCCTGGTGGCCCAAGGGATCTAGACAATAGTCTGAAGTTCCCATGAGGTGGAATAATGAGACCCAGCACCCTCCTCCCAGGGCTTATGTCTGGGAACTGCCTATGGCCCAAGTTCATCAGGGCCTCTTGGCCCCCAGGTGATGAGCAAAGTCTAGGCTGGGATAGTGGAGACGCTGCTTCCGGCCTCAGCTCTGGCCCTGACTCACCCAGAGCCCCGGGCCAAGCACGTTCCTCTCTGACCCTACTTTCCCCATCTGTCAAATGGAGCACACAACCCAGCCTCACTTGGGTTCCTAGCTATGGGGACAGATGCGTGAGGGGGACTGACAGCAACGGTGGGTGATGGGAGAAAAGATTAAAGTCACTCTAAACAATCAGGAAAGAAAAGTGTCAGCAGGTTCAATATTTCCAAACCTTTGTCCTGACCAGAGTGATCACTGTGCAAAGACACCCAGCCAAGGGGAAGACAGGGGTGGTGGACCACTTATGTTCCACTCAACGAGTGCTGCAACCTAGGGCCAGGCTGCATCTGCCTGGACGAAGGGGTGCCTTTTCTAAACCTCATAAAGGTGCCGTATAAACTAGCAGTAGTCTTGCCAGTGAGCTGCTGCGGAGCGTGCTTGGCCCTACCCCTCCCCACGGTACTCGGTCCCAGACGCAGGGCAGGAATATATTTGTGCATGTGAGCTTAGTGTGTGCATGTCTAAGTGTGTACGTGTGTGATGCACACACACGTGCACACCTATGTATAAGCGTGTGTGTGAGGCATGTGCCTGTGGGGATGAGTATGCACTTCTGTGCAAGTATATACATGTGTGCACTAACATGAAGGGCTGTGTGTGCTTCATGAATTTATGTGTACCCGCAGTGCCTGACTCCTGCCTACACACGGCTCTCTCTTCTCCCAAGGTCACAGAAAGAAGGGAGTGAGCCTCAAAACTCATGTTCCTCCAAGATGACCCAAAATATGAGAAGAGAGAAGGCCCGCTCTGTGGTCTTTGGGGGCCTCGTGTTTGGATTCAGCCCCGCCCAGTTCTTGGACTGATGCCTCTCCTCTCTGGGTCTCATTGAAAAACTGCTGGTCAGACTCTGACGGAATATGCAGGACCCAGCCCGGCCCCAAGGGAGCCCCGGGCGGTGATTCTTCCCCCCAGCCAGAGAGCCCTCCTGGAGATCACTCACCTGACCTCTTCCAGCTGCAGACACAAGGGCAAAGCTTTCACCAGATGTCTGATGCCTTGGGCAGTGATCTTACTTCCTGCTAGCCTACAGGGTGAGCAAAGATGGTGGGGAGGAATGGGATGGGGCAGGGGGTAGGCCGGGGATCTGCCCTGTGTAGGATGGGGGAGGGGAGAAGAGTGCCAGGCGTCACCGGATGAAGACCCCTCTCCGTTCCAAGCCCCGCTCACCCCAGCTTCTGCAGCCTCCCCATTGTCGGCAGGCTCCTGGAGAGGGCTTCTGCAAAGGCGTCCCCACACTTCCTGCTCTTAAAGCTGCCATGGGAAGAAGCAAAGCGGCCGACGATCAGTGCTGGGCAGGGCTTAGAGGTCATCACCAACCCTTCCTGACAGATGGGGTCTATTATGGTAGCAGCAGCAGTAACAAACACACATTATGGCAGAGACTGCTAACTGTCCACCAAAATCCATTCTCCACTCCATCTGTAGCAGTAGAGCTATACCTGGGAACCTGGTTTCCCAGCCAGAGAGGACATTTCCCAGCCTCCCTTGCAGCTCAGTGTGGCCACGTGACTATTTTCTCACCAATGGAGTGAGTGGAAGGCATGTGATCTAGTTCTGGGACTGAGCGTTAGCACGTTGGCGTGGTTCCCCTGTGCTTTTCCCCTTTCCCCAAGCCAGAGCACAGACATGTCCAGGACCCGGCTCTGACTGTGCGATAGGGACGCCAAGGGGATGGCGGAGCGACAACGGAAGGAACCTGGGTCCCTGCGTGACCACGTGGACCTGAGCCATTCCGCTGACCCAGACCACTTACCGCTGGCTCTTCCATGGGAAAGAAATAAAATTCTACATGACTTAATCTACTGTATTTGGGAGGTTTCTTTGTAACTGCAGCGCAGCCTTTTCTCTAGCTAATACGTCAATTGAGCCTTTGCCAGGCTCTGGGCTAAGAATTTTTCGTGCATTATCCCGTCTCATTCTCACAACTGCCCTAGGAGTTAGGTCTTAATTATCGTGAATTCATTTTAGGAACAAGGAAACTCTGGCCGAGAGAGGTGACGTAACCTGCCTAAAGTCAAACAGCATCCAGCAGCACAGCCTGGACTGAGGCTCCACCCAGGACAGACAGGGAGGGGCTGAGAGCTCAGAAACCAGGCAGTGGAAGGGTTCGACCGGGTGCAGAGCTGCTGTCGGGGCAGGGAGCTTCCTCACTGGTAGCCCAGGCCTGGGGCAGTCAGGGCCACCTGTTCTGATATTCCAGATTCTTATCCAGTCTCCTTGGTACTCTCCCCAAAGTCCAGTTCCCTCCCTGGTCCTCCCCCAACCATACTCACCTGAGATTCTCCACCTGCCCACAGCCTACCAGAGCCTCAGGGCAGTGGGGATCCAGGGGGCAGCCCTCGAAGGCCAGTTGGATGGGGGCCTCCCTGCGCTCCAGGACATTGGTCAGGCTGGTCAGGTCGGCGCAGGTCAGTGGGAAATTGTGGAAGGACAGATGACAGCGGAGGCTTTGGGCAGTGAGACCCGCCAGCTCAGGCTCCTGCGTCTCATCCACGCAGCGACACAGCTCTATGACCTTGGGCCCCGTGAGCTTGCGGGTGGCCAGCTTCCTCAGCACCTGCACGACAGCAGCCTGCCTGGTGCCCACCCAGGCCTCGTCGCGCTCTGCCAGCTGGCTGAGGAAGGGGCGGCAGGCGCAGGACGCCAGGCCCGCCAGGAAGGTGGGGAGGTGGTCTGAGAGGCCCACTCTGGCTTTGGTCCGCAGCACCCAGCGGGAATTGAGGGTGACATGGTGGGTGAGTGTGTCTTTGTCCACCTCAGGGCTGGCCATCAGGTACAGGGCAGTGAAAAACTCCTGCAGGCTGAGGTGGGTGAAAGCGTAGCCTGTCTGCCGGTGCCCGGGCCCAGTGCAGACGCAGAAGGAGCTGAGCAGGCTGTGGGCAGTCCCAAAGGCCATCACGGATGGAGGGATGTCTCTTGCATAGAAGACAACCTTCCCGGTCTCCAGGCCCCTCAGGGCCACCTCCCCCAGGCCCAGCAGGGTCGTGGTGGGCAGGCACCCAGGGGGGCCGAGGGCAAGCACCATCTGCATGTAGAGCTGAGTCACGGTGGGCAGGAGGGCCACAGACTGGCCCTGGGCACTGCCAGGGAGCAGGTGGCGGAGGCAGAGGCAGGCGATTCGGCACAGCGCGGGCACCGCACACATGCTCCGGAGACGTCCGTTTACGCGCAGCTCTGCCAGGGCCCCCTCCTGGGAGGGCTGGGCGCTGAAGAAGCGGCTCACGTACTCCTCCACCCGCGGACTGTCGAAGCCCCACATCTGGACCACGGCTGCCTCTGTGGGCAGGCAGGGGGGCAGCTTCCCGGGACGGGAGGTGGCCATCACCCAGCAGCCGGGCAGGAGGGTCCCGCGGCAGAGACCGGAGAAGAGGGTGAGGGCTGGGCCCAGGCCCTCAGGGCTTCCCGTGTCCCTGCCGGAGCAGGGCTGGAGGGCCTCATCCAGCCCGTCGAAGACCAGCAGGACTTGCTCGGCATTCTCCGTTAGGTACTGGAAGACAGCATCGGGGCCCGACTCGGGGCTCAGGTACAGATCAAAAAGGAGCTGGGGCAGCGTCAGGAAACTTGTCAGCAGGTTGAGCTGGCGGAATTCGAAAAGGAACAGGGCCTGGAAGTGGTCCAGCTGGCCCTCAGCCCACTTCTGGCAGAGCCGGTGGGCCAGCATGGTCTTGCCCATGCCGGCCGTCCCCAAGAGCACTGTCACCCTTGGGCCTCTTTTGGTCCTGGGATTGAAGAGGTCCCAGATGTTCACGTCAGTGCCATCTTCTGCCTTGATGTCTCCCATGGCAGCCCCCTGCTGAGTGTCCAAGGGCACTGTGGCTCGGGTCCACTGCAGGACGGGGGGGATGTAGGGCTGGTGGGAGCCAAGGGGCTGTCCTGACCCAGAGAGTCTGTCGCCATAGCGCTGCTGGGCAGAGGCCCTCAGGAGCTGCAGGTACCTCCTGGCCAACTCTGCAGGGGGCAGGGAGATGGCATGAGGGCAGGAGCCCCCGGCCCTCTGCCATGCCCCCCCACCCCATTACTGAGCCTCTAGCCCCAGCTATGTATGCACGGGGGATGGGGCGGAGGTGTCAAGAGCACGATAGGGGCTTCTGTGCCACCCAAATTCCCAGAAGCAATCGGTTTGGCAGAAGCACAGGCTCCGTCATCACTTAAACAGGGAGGCAGGAACGGGGCAGCGTGGGTCATGGCTGTATTCGTTCTCAACAGTATACGTGGCGTAAGGTTTTCAGTAACATGGGGGAAGGAAATGGGGCACTTTGCAACATCTTATTGGAACGACCTCTTCCTGTGACATCTGAGTCCCCTGTGTCCCTCCCGAATATTTCAGTTCTGCAGTGCAACCCCCAGGCTGACAGCCCGCGGGCCTAGGCACTGACCAATCGGAGCTGTGGGAGCTGGGCCCTACAGTGCCTGGCGTTAACCTTGTAATTCCCAGGTCACTGGGAGGTCTCAGGCGGCCCAGGGGAAGGACTAGGGCCACGTTAAGGGAGACTGGGGAGGGTGGCTGAGGTAGTGGCCTGTTTTATATAGATGTGAATCCTCTGGTTACCCACGTTTGGCAATGGTGGGGCTGGGGAGAATTCCAGTGAGTGGGACAACCAGCTGAGAACAAGGAACATTCTGGACGACTGGTCAAGAATGAGAGAAGTTCTCTCTCCTCTCTGTCCCCTGACATGGCCAGCCCTTTGTAGCCCCATGTCTCTCCGTGGACTCTGTTTGGGGGTTCGCCCGGGCATCTGCATCGCTCTCCATCCCTGCTCACCCCCAGACTGGTCTTGCTGGCGCCCTCCCTGGGGCTCCCTCCACCCTGAGGACATAGGGTGTCCCTGGAAGAGACCGCTGAGGTGCTGCCAGCTCCGTCCGCAGAGCCGTCTTTGGAGAAGGCCCTTGCAGCCTGACGGGGGAGCCCTTCCCTGCCAGCCCGGCCCCCTCCTCTGATGGCCAGACCTCCAATCCTTCTCTCCGGGAAGCTTGGAAGCTGAGAGTCACTGGACCCTGGAGGCTTGTTGCAGGGGGCAGCGTCCAGAGTCAGCGTCCTGGCTCCGAGGCAGCCCCATCCCCACGTTCAGGTGCCAACCTGCCCTGGTACCCACCTAGCTGTTGCTTCCTGCTCTGCTTCCGGCGAGGGGAGGACCCATGGCTCTGATGAGGGCGCTTGAGGCCTGAAAAACAGCAGAGGCAGGGTGGAAGGGTGGCACTGGGGACATGGGCCAAGGGGGTACCCAGCCCCTTGGGGGACCTCCATGCCATAGGCAGGTGGCAGGCAGAGGCTGCACCCACACCAGCTTCTGTTTGCAGAGGGGGCTTCCAGCCCCAGGAGGAGGGTTGGAGGCTCTGGGCCTGGGGGGGTCTCCCAGCCCAAGATGCAGGGAGCAGGGCCCACAGCCAGCAGCCCCCTTGACACTCAGCCCCAATCACTAAATGGCTGTCTCTCCAGCACAGAAGGACCGAGCTCTGTGGTGGCCACCACTGGCCATAGCAGTGAAGCTTCCAGTGGGCTTCGCCAGGCCTGCGACCTCCCTCCTGCATTTGGGTGTTTTATCAACCTTTTTTTTTTTTTTTTTTTTTTTTTGAGACAGAGTCTCACTGTGTTGCCCGGGCTAGAGTGCCGTGGCATCATCCTAGCTCACAGCAACCTCAAACTCCTGGGCTCAAGCAATCCTCCTGCCTCAGCCTCCTGAGTAGCTGGGACTACAGGCATGCGCCACCATGCCCGGCTAATGTTTTGTATATATTTTTAGTTGTCCAATTAATTTCTTTCTAATTTTAGTAAAGACGGGGTCTCGCTCTTGCTCAGGCTGGTTTCGAACTCCTGAGCTCAAACAATCCGCCCGCCTCGGCCTCCCAGAGAGCTGGGATTACAGGTGTGAGCCACCGCGCCCGGCCTCAACCTAATTTCTTGTCACCCACATTTCCTCACTTCCCTTAATGGTTTCATGAGTCTTGTCACATTGCATGGATTTCCAAGAGTCACTCTGATGCCATTCTGGAAGAGTTTGGGAAAGGAAGAAGGAAAACAAGAAGCAAGGGAGAGAGAAAAGGTCAGGGGGAGAAAAGAAAGAGGACCCAGGAAAGAATTTTAAGAAGTGAGGTAGGATCTCCTACTGCCAGGCGCTGGTGACCAATCAGAATAGTCCCTAGAGCAGTGCCCGGGGGCCCTTGACCTGCCAGGTGTTGACTTTTTAGCTGATGAATCGCAGAGAGGCTCACGGGTCCCACAGAGGGGCTGGAACCTATTCGAGAGTACACCAATATTTAGCCAAGTCCTGTACTAACAAGGGACTCACTGGCCAAGCGCCAATCAGACCCGGTCACAGCCATGAGACAATCATGCCAGCTCAGTGGTGAGGGCCAGCACGGACCAGGGTCTCGGACAAACAGCTGTGCTTTGTTGGGGAGCTGGGATTGCAGGGCGGGTGTTTTCTGTTCACATTACTGCCATGCACAGCAATAATTAAGAAGTGGATACTTCCATAGAAATAAAGGTCCTGAGACTAGAGTGTGACCCATCAATCAGTAGGTGGCTGCCATTTGATCACTGACCCCGCCCACCGCTTACTGAGCTCCCTGGGTGCAGACAGCAGTTGTGGGTGAGAGTCAAGCCCGAGGTGTGAAAATGGGGAGGAGGTGGTTGGGGTTCCTGTTGAAGCCCAGCGCTGTGGGGCTGGGAGACAGGCCCTGAGGCCTGGGGACAGGAAAGTGAGAACAGCCTTCCCGAGGGGCTCCAGGTTAGACCCCTGGGAACTCGCAACAGGACAGACGGAAGCCTTGAAAGTCAGGGAGTGGGAGGAGGGGGGCGGAGCGACACAGCGAGGGGCGTGGCGCACATGCACACGGACTGGGCACAGACGAGGAGGACGGCCTATGGGAAATGGCTGTGACCAGCCGCCACCAGCCTCTGCCAGCTTGGAGGCGGGGACTTGGCAGTGCTCACCGCCCTGTCCTGCTCCCCAGCCCCAGGCCTCACCGTGGTGGAGCTGAGATTCAGGTTGGCTTTCTTCACCGTCTCCCAGTTGGCTGGGGAACCCTGCGAGAGAGAGGAGAATATAACGTGCCCCCAGGATGTAGCGGGATACCCGGGGACAAGCTCTGGCCTGGTGTCTGGCTCAGGGCTCCTCCCACAGACTGGGTACCGAGCCAAGGAGAAATAAAATGAACAGTTATCTGCTGCAGGAGAAAGCTGGTGCTGAGCCTTGAAGGCAGCGGTGGGCAGAAATGTATGTGCGTATGCATGTGCACGCATGTTTGTGCGCGTGCACACACAGGTATGCACGTGTGCACTTGTGTGCATATGTATACATGTTTGCGCACACGCACGCACTGTGTATATGCACGTGTGCACGTGTGTGTATGTGCCCCTGACCCCCTGCATTTCCCACACCTGCCTTGTGGTAGAGTCCTTGAGTGAGTTCCCACTTGCTTTGTTTCCCCTCAGTGCAGTGTATAAACAGAAGGTGCCCAATAAATGCCCATTGAACTGAACAGAGTTAAACCTGCCTATCGGTAGAGGTCAGAAGTCTCTCCCTGTGACAGCTTCTGATCACACTGCAAAAAGAAGCTTCTTGGGCATTAGGGGCTAATTGGAATTGTGTGGCTGGAAGGAGACATTTGGTCCTTTCTCTCCCTGCATTCTACCTCCCTGAGCGACTGGGGTGAAGCCAGGGGGAAGGAGGGGTCCTCCAGGCCCCAGCTGATTTTGTGGCATTAGGGAATTTGCGTGGGAATTACCCAGAAACACAGAATTTTGTTTCTGGCTCAGCTGCGCCCTCTCTGTGCGACTCAGGTGGGTTCTTGGGCCTCTCGCCCCCCGACCCCCGTGACACGGGGGCTGGGCTGGCTGCTTTGCAACTCTCACACCTGCCCTCACCGTCTTCGCTGCCCCAAGTACTCAGCAGGGGCACCTCCAGGTCCAGGGGCACCTCCAGCTCCATGCACACACAGTGGATGAACGACTGCCAGGTGTCTAGACCTTGGGCGTGCAATTTTCTGAGTTGCAGAATGACCCTCTGTTCAGGGTCTGGGATCTCGTTCTGGGAACCCAGGTCCGTGTTGGGGAAGAAGACGCTCATCTTGTCGCTCAGCCATTTGGGGTCCTTGCTGAGCAGACTCACAAGCCAGCTCCACAGGTTCCGGGTGCCCAGCTGGATGCTGATGGGGTCCATGGGGAGCTGCCCTAGAGGGAGAGGGTAGGCAGGTGAGCTGGGGCAGGTGAGCTGGGGCACAGGTGAATTGAGCAACAGACGAGCTGGGGAGAAGCCATGCAGTCAAGAAGCCACACTGAGCAACAGAAAACACGCAGATAAGTGGCCTCTCCATGGAGTCTTTTTTTTTTTTTTTTTTGAGACTGAGTCTTGCTCTGTTGTCTGGGCTAGAGTGAGTGCCGTGGTGTCAGCCTACCTCGCAGCAACCTCAAACTCCTGGGCTCAAGCAATCCTCCTGCCTCAGCCTCCCAAGTAGCTGGGACTACAGGTTCATGTCACCACGCCTGGCTAATTTTTTCTATTTTTAGTAGAGATGGGGTCTCGCTTTCTCTCAGGCTGGTCTCGAACTCCTGACCTCAAGTAATCCTCCCATCTCAGCCTCCCAGAGTGCTAGGATTACAGGCGTGAGCCACCATGCCTGGCCTCCATGGAGTCTTGATGCCTCTGCCCTGGGATCAGTTTCAGATATTAGTCTGTTTCTTCCCCATCCCTCCCCCACCCCATCTGTTCCTGTATCCTGCCTCTCCAGAATGGTCTAGCTCATCCCCTGTGGATGGTCCCCTATGGACCATCATTCTTGTTTCCGTGGACAATTTGTGCTAGTCTCAGTCTGAGCTAACTTCATGGTAGAGACAACTAGTTGTGCCCCAAAATCTGTTCTTCCTTTCTTCCTTAGTACTACAACTCCTGAACATTCCCCAGCCATCTACAATATTCTATATTTCCCAGTCTTCCTGGCAGTTATATGTAGCCATGTAACTACGTTTTGGCCAATGGGATCTAAGCAGGAGTATTGCCAATCCTTCTTTGCTTCTTCCTATTGGCTGGAATGTTGATGTGATGGCTGGACCTTCGGTAGCTATGTTGAATCATGAGGTGGAAGCTAGTGGAGACTCAAGCTGTCCACCTGCCCTGGACTCTCTGACTTTGGACTTCCATTATATGACAGGGAAATATACTTCTGTTTAAACTGTTAAGGATTTCATGTTACTCACAATGAACTCTAATCCTAGCTAACACAAACCATCTCCTCTCTCTAAGAAAATTCTCCCCTTTCTAAACTAGAACTCTCAAATGAATTGCTGGTGGGAGTACCAATAGAGGGCCGGGGCATTTACACAGCAAAAGCCTAAACAATGCATGGTACCTTCGATTCAGCAATTCCCTTCTATTACTCTAACCGTAGGAAAGAATCACGGATGTATGAGGTCTGTCCGGAAAGTATCCAGCCATTGTTAATACAGTGAAAACGGTTTGCATGACATTGACATAACCCGGCAGCCAAGGAGAATGGACTGGGACGCGCATGCGTGAACAAAGACGATGTCACTGTACTAGTCAGTGGGGCACTAGACGCCGTTTAGTGAGCACGTGGACTGTGTGGTCGTCGCATTCAAAATATCTGAGCTAGTAGAGCAACGAATCTGCTTCAAATTTCGCTTTAAGCTTGCACATTCCTCCGCGGAAGCTATTTGGATGACGCAGAAGGCTTTCGGGGACGATGCGATGAGCGCGGCGCAAATGAAGGTGTGGCACAAACGCTTCAGAGATGGTCGAGGATCTGTTGAAAGTGATCCATGTTCTGGAAGGCCTGCAACAAGCACAACACCTGAGAATGGCGAACGGTGCGGGTCAGGGTGAGAGGCGCTGGGAGGAGTGTGTGAGGTCCCAGGGTGCCTCCTGTGAAGGGGACTGAGGCATCCTTGTCCTATGTACAGTGTTTCTTGCATCTTCTTCAGTAAATGTCTCTATTTTTCATAGTGCATGGCTACATACTTTCCGGACACACCTCGTCTTTCCTTAATCATTGTAGCAAACACTTGGAAAGCACTTACTGTGTGTTGGGCACTGTTGCAAGCACTTTATGTATCTTACCCAATTCTCCCAACGCCAGAGATGCCACCTCTAACTCTGAAAAGAGTGGGAGGCCCCCCAGGAGCCAGCCTCGCCAACACCCAGAGGCTGAGGCACAAGACTATATGTCCTGGGTTTAGGCCCCAGCTGCTCCCTGGGCACCCGGCAGGGGCCTACTGGGCATGTGACTGCAGTCCCCACTGGTCATCCCTCCTCAACTAGACCAGCAGCAATGGGTCCTTGCTCAGGCACACGGATTTAGGATTCATGAAACACGCTCACATCCGTGATCCTCAGAAGGCATCGCCATCCCCACTGGCAGATGGAACATGGCAGTCAAGGTCGGGTGAAGGATGCGCTCAAGGTTATACAGCAAGCCCACGGCAGAGCCAGCAAAAGAACTGAGATTTCTTGCTCCCAAGCCAGTACATTTCCAAGGCCTTGGAGCCCGAGATGGCTCCAGATAAGACAAAGCCCCTGGACTTCGTGCGATCTTGGTAAAAGGATGTGGCCGTGGGCATAACTCCTCCTCCAGGCCATGGTGTCCAAAGTCCATACTGCCCATAAAGAGATCGCCCAGGGCAGCATGGTGCCAGGTGGAAGTGCGTGCTGCCCGGATGGTGTGATCTCTGGGGATGTTCCTCATCCTCCAGTTCTTCCTCCATCCTCCAGCCAGCCTAACACAATGTCTTTGTTTCCACCATTTGTGTTCTATCCCCTTAGAATAAGACATGAAGCGGGGGTCGGGGGGTAAACTCATAACTAATGGATGCGGAGAATGTGTCGGGGAAGGGCACGCCTGTAGCCCTGGCTTGGGCGAGGCAAAGGCATTACATGTAACCAAAATGTTTGTACCCTCATAATACTCTGAAATTAAAAAAAAAATTATAAAGTTAAAAAAAAAAAAGACATGAAGCTCTTTAAAGATAACCATCCTTGGGAGAAAAAAAGCACATGGTATCATTATTAGTCATCGAGACTTCGGTGGGAAACAGCCTTGGGGAGGACGATTGTTGCAAGATCCTTGGGCCCAGAGTCAAGAGCGAGGGTTCCTGTCCCAGCTCTGTCACTGACCCTCTGCTGCAGGCACGAGGGCTGTTCACAGATACTCTCTCCTCTTTCTAGGTCCTTGGTAGGATGGTGCTGCCCCACCTCCTTGAAACTGATCATGGCTGTGAAACTTGCTTTGGCCAATGAAATACACTAGAAAGTGGCGCATGTCACATCTGTGCAGATGTTTTAAGGGCCAATGTGTGATCCCCTGTGCTCTCTTTTCCCTCTACTGCAGGGGCCAGCAGTATTCCAGACTGCGGCTGCTCCTTTAGCCACGTTTGGGAGAGAGGACGATGTGGAGTAGAGCTGCCAGTCGATTCACAGCACTCAAGAAGCAAGAGCAGGAAATAAACTTCCGTTACCAGGAGCCCCCTGGGATTTTGGAGGTTGTTTGTTACTGGAGCGTAACTTAGCCTGTCCTAGCTGATACACCCATAGTATGACCTCAAGCAAGTCTCTTCCCTAGCTGGGGCTCAGTCATGCCATCTATAAATGGGGTAGATTAGATGCTGCCTCAAGGCCCTTCCTGATTTTCTGTGTCTGATGATGTTTGTTCTCAAGCTGAAGGTTTGCTGTGTTGGGGGCAGCCCGCAGGGGCAGGGAGCAGTGTCAGTGGTAGGAGGAGAGTGAAGGAGTGCATTGGGGGGAGAAAGAGGAGGGGAAGGGGAGAGAAAATCACCTACTTGGCTTCCTGGTTCATCATGGGTGCTCTAGGGTCCCCATGGAGAGGCTCTCATGGGTGTCTGAGCTGCATCCTGGGCCCTGAGCTTCATTTACAGGTTGTTTCCACAGTGCAGACCCCTGAGGAGAGAGAAGACAGGAAGTTGTCCCTGGTATTCCAAACTCCAAGAGGAGCACTGGAGAGAGAGCACTAGCCCTCTTCCCTGCCTGCCAGAGACACCTCTGAGCACACTCGACCCAGAAACAGCCCCCTCAACTTCGTGCGCAGAGCTTTCTCTCCAAGCCACGGCCCGTGTGTACCTGAAGTTGGCACAGCCCGACCCTCCCCAGTGTCACCTCCTGCCACGCCCAGCCCCAAAGGTGTCCCTTTTCCTCCTCCAATTCAGACATTCACTATACAACGGCCTGTGGCATCACATCGCACACGGCAAAGCCAGCAAACTTATTATGGATAATCTACTCAGATGAAAACTGAATAATCCTCACTGCGCATGACGACCTTTTCCCCACAAATATAAACTCCCCAAAAGCTGGGATTTGCGATCTTCTTTCCGATTACATTATAAAGTAGTTTTTAAACAGTTGAGAGTAAACATTGTTCTTCAAGAGAAAACCCAGAGGCACGGGTCGCTGCCTCACACAGGGCACGATCCAAAGATACTCTGGCACAAATGCCTACGTAACACATAGAGATCTGGCTTAAGAACACAGAATTTGGACAAGAACACAAGTGGCTAAAAAGTATGTGGAAGAAAGGAAGAGAGGTTAAAGATCAGGCTGGGTGCGGTGGCTCACGCCTGTAATCCTAGCACTCTGGGAGGCCGAGGCGGGAGGATTGTTTGAGCTCAGGAGTTCGAGACCTGCCTGAGCAAGAGTGAGACCCCGTCTCTACTAAAAAAATAGAAAGAAATTAGCTGGACAACTAAAAATATATAGAAAAAATTAGCCGGGCGTGGTGGCGCATGCCTGTAGTCCCAGCTACTCGGGAGGCTGAGGCAGGAGGATCGCTTGAGCCCAGGAGTTGGAGGTTGCTGTGAGCTACGCTGACACCATGGTACTCTAGCCAGGGCAACAGAGTGAGACTCTGTCTCAAAAAACAAAACAAAACAAACAAACAAACAAAAAGATCAGCGTGTGCTCTGATCTTTGAGGACACACATGAGGAACATAACTACAAAGTTCCATGACTTTAGAAAAATCCATATACATAGGGCGCGTTCAAACATAGCAGAGGTAAGGACTGTAGTTAGAAATAAGAAAAGAAAAAAGAAGTTCTTCGAAGAGGTCCTGGAATACTACTGATTTTTTTTAGAAACAATATTATCAAATTCTAACAGGAGGCCGGGTGCGGTGGCTCACGCCTGTAATCCTAGCACTCTGGGAGGCCGAGGTGGGAGGATTGCTTGAGGTCAGGAGTTTGAGACCAACCTGAGCAAGAGTGAGACCCCATCTTTACAAAAAATAGAAACATTATTAAATAGCGGGGCATGGTACAGGAGGAATGAAAAGAGGCATTAACAAATTGAGAAAAATATTGCTATGAGCTAAATGTTGGTGACCCACCCTCCCAATTCCTATGGTGAAGACTAAATCTCCAGTGTGACCGTAATTGGAGATGGGGAATTAGGTGGTGAGCGTGGAGCTCTCGTGATGGGTTTAGTGCCCTTATAAGAGGGCACAGGAGAGAGCATGCTCTTTCTCTCTGCTCTCCGCCACGTGAGGACACATGGAGAAGGTGCCATGTGCACACCAGGAAGAATGCCCTCGCCAGACACCAGATCTGCTCGTGCCTTGATCTGGGACTTCCCAGCCACCAGACCTATGAGAAATACATTTCTGTTGTCTAAGCCACCCAGTCTACAGCATTTCATGACAGCAGCCCAAACTGACTAAGACAAACCTGCTTGTGGCCACAGAAAGTATAAAAAAAAAATCTCTACATTAAAATGTAGATTAAAGGCAATGCCACTTAAGATACTTTAGAGAGCTTGATAAAATTATATTAATAGTCATTTAGAGAAAAAGGCAGATATGACAGCGGTTTATATGCCTTAATTTTTTTTTCATTTTCTGAGACAGGCTCTTGCTCTGTCGTCCCAGCTAGAGTGCTGTGGTGTCATCGTAGTTCAGCACAACTGCAAACTCCTGGGCTTAAGGGATCCTCCTGCCTCAGCCTCCTGAGTAGCTGGGACTATAGGCACATGCCACCATGCCCGGCTAATTTTTCTCTTTTGTGCAGAGACCGTGTCTCGCTCTTGCTCAGGCTGGTCTCAAACTCCCTGGCTCAAGCAATCCTCCCACCTCAGCTTCCAAAGTGCTAGGATTATAGGCGTGAACCTCCTCGCTCAGCCAACACGTCTTAAATATTTTATAACAAAACAGTTTG